AGGCCAAGGGCTTCCAAACTTTCTAAACAAAGGGCCAGTTTACTGTCCTTCAGACTTTGAAGGCAGGACTGCGGCCAGTGGGAGTAGAAAAGGTCCCGACACCGGTGGGAAAAAAATAATGCCCCTTTGTTTGGTGTCAGTGGGAGGAATTCTGCCCCACCATTGATGTCATTGGACCCTATCATTTGTGTCACTGGGAGAAATTCTGCCTCATCATTGGTGTAATTGGAAGTAGTTGTGCCTCCTTCATTGGTGTAAGTGGGGGGAGTTATACCCAATTGGTATCAGTGGGTGAAATCGTACCCAAAGGCAGATAAAAGCAAGCAAGGGGCTGTATCTGGCCCCAGGGTGCAGTTTGGAGACCACTGCCCTAGTTGATTAAAGTGGGAGAGGAAACCTATCACTTTCAGGTATCCACTCCCCAAAGGTGCCAATCCTTATCGGGGAGCGGGGGACCAGTCCTTAAAGCGGAGCTTCCCCTTTTGGGTGGAGCTCCATTTTAAGAGCTTGAGCAAATTTTTACATTTTCACCCTGGACCTGTTTCTCAGCAATAACTTTGTCATTAGATAACATAACAAATGTTTACATACAATTTTTTGGGGCTTTCTTTTGTAAATATTCTCTTGCAAAAATTATTTTACTTTCTATGTAGTCTGTAGATGAAAAGATGTAAACATATTGGGGTTGATTTACTAGAACTGGAGAGTGAAAAATCTGGTGCAGCTCTGCATAGAAACCAATCAGCTTCCAGGTTTTTTTAGTCAAAGCTTAATTGAACAGGTTTTAGAAAATGAACCCGTTTTCTCTTTCTTCCTATTTCGGTCAGTATTCCTTTTAAAATTAGTAGTGTTATTGTAAATACAAAGTATATATTTTTATTCTAAAATTGGTCCCATTTAAAATGACACTAGAAATGTGTTTCTGGTACAAAGTATCAAAGTTATTCATCACAAATGAAATGTGTTTTTTTTTTTTTTTTTTTTTTTTTTTTTCAATTTTGCACAATTTTTATGCAGCAATGAATGCAATAACAAATAGATTGAAAACAAAATAGATTGAAAATATGAATAAAAAATAAGCAGAAAGATAGTAGAAAAAGGGGGGAGAGGAGTAAGCTGTTAATTATATCTAATTAGGGTTAGGATAATATAGGAATATATTTATAAAATATATATTATATTTAACTTCTCTTTCACTGATGCCATCTACAGATCACACTTTTGATCCTCAGATGAATGAAATAGTGAATACAGTGAAGCAATATATGCTTAAATTCAGGGCTTTTTTTCCGTAGGAATGTGGGGGAACGCAGTTCCGGCACCTCCAGCACTGAATGTATATAATGGCAAGGCAATTGATACTTGGCTCTCTAAAAGGGGCAGTACTGGGAGGTAGGTAGGGGATGGAACAAAGGGACAGTGCTTGGAGGTGGGTAGAAGGTGAAAAAAGAAATGGCTCAGAGGGAGGGAGTTCCTGCACCTATTCTCTGAGAACAAAAGCCCTGAACACATTGTATCTACTTAATGGCACTTGCAGATGATCTGCAAGTGTCATTTTACACAGAAATGGCTGACTTTTGACAGCTGTTCCCACCACGTAATACCTAATATGTAGCAATTCTGATCTGCCATTTTGAAAGAGGACGCAGGAGATATGGCCTAGAAATTTAGTTGAAGGGCTTTGTTTAGGGCACATCTCCTATTTCTAAGGTCCTAAATGGTTACCGATATATAAAGATATGTTTTCAGGTGCTGGATACCCTTCAGTTTGCCATGGTTCCTCCCTCCAACACCCTCAGTGCTGAGTCCTATACTGAAGTATGGGTAATACAGCACTTTAACCACTTGCCCTCCAGAGAATTTACCCCCCTTCATGACCAGGCCATTTTTTGTGTTATGTTGCTACATTACTTTAACTGACATTGCATGGTCATGTAACGCTGCACCCAAATTAAATTTATTTCCTTTTTTTTTCCCCACAAATGGAGCTTTCTTTTGGTGGTATTTGATTGCCTTTTGCGTTTTTCTTTCTATAAACACAAAAAGACTGACAATTTTGAGAAAACAACAATATTTTTGACTTCTTGCTATTAAACATGTCCAGTAAAAAAAATCAAATGTCAGCATAAATTTAGGCTAAAATGTATTCTGCTCCATGTCTTTGCTAAAAAAAAATCCCAATATGAGTAAATTAATTGGTTTACGTGAAAGTTATAGCATCTACAAATGGCGGTATATATACTGGATTTTTTATTTTATATTGTAATGGCGGCGATCAATGACTTATAGCGAGACTGCGGCGGGCATTCTGACACTGGGGAGGAACTGACTGTCACTGACATCCCCAGTGACACTAATACAGTGATCAGTGCTAATAAAAAGCACTGACACTGTACTAATAACACTGGGCAGGAAGGGGTTAACATCTGGGGAGATCTAATGGTTAACGGTGTGCTGTTTTGCTGTGTGCGTGTATGCACTTCACTGTGTCAGCATACTGCTTTGTATGGCTCTGCTATGCAGAGCCATACAAAGCAATGTGCAGGAGCTGACAGCAGAGAGATTTGTATTGTTTACATACAGGTCTCTCCCCCGTCAGTAATATTTGGTGATCCCCGGATGCCGGCAGGGAATCACCGGCAGGGACCCGGTGATCGACAGCTGAGGCAGCCAATGGCGGCGCGGGTAGGGCGCGCACGTGCCCCCTACCCGGAAATGCTAAATCACCCATATATACATACTTTTCTAAAAGGGAGGCGGGAAAGTGGTTAAAAATAATGTTTTTACAATCCTATGTATTCCAGTGGAGTATGCAAGTTCCTTCCATAGGCATATAATGACACAGACATATACATGCATTATGGAGCAAGTTTACTTAGATTTTTGTTAACATTCCATTAGGTATATGTGCCATGAAGCACCTGGAGAAAACTAATACAACTACAAGCATCTAGTGTGCGCAATCATGCAGCCAATAAGTTCTGTGATTTATTTATGTTCTGTCTGGTGAAGGGGTACACTGAAGGTAGACAACACAGACAGGACCAAGGTCTTGACTTACAACTCTTAATGCTGAGTTAGAGTTGAACTCTGGAGGGATCGTGACATTGATGATGGATGTACAGTTCCTTGCAAAGCAATGATCTTATGCAAACCATGCACAAACTTTGCAGAGATAGCTTATAGTGTATGGAAACCATTTAATTGCTCTTATTTACTACTATTTGTTCTCATAAATATTTATTTGAAAGCATTTTGCTATTTATGTAAAATAAGTTAAAAAAAAGTACCAATTTATCCATTGGAAATCTTTTGAGCTAATAACTAGAGATGACCCAATTATTCAAAAATTCAATTCGGCTGATTCGCAGAATTTGCGGGAGAAATTCGATTCGATGCAAATTTATTCGCTGCGAATTTAACTTCTTAAAAGGGTTTCTAGGCTTCAGAGAGCCTTTATATTAGTGCAGAACACTGTACCTTTAATTTAAATGCCCTTGGAGTCTGCTGGGGAAGAGAAATAATACTGTCAGTCAGTATGACATGCAGATGAGTGCCGTCGATCTTAGAATCATTGCACACTTCACTCATTTGGGCAGTCACGGGGCACGACGAAGAAGAAGAATGAAGAATGAAAAGAAGAAGAAGAAGAATGAAAAGAAGAATGAAAAGAAGAAGAATGAAAAGAAGAAGAATGAGAAGAAGAATGAGAAGAAGAATGAGAAGAATGAAAAGAAGAATGAGAAGAATGAAAAGAAGAATGAAAAGAAGAAGAAGAAGAATGAAAAGAAGAAGAAGAAGATGAAAAGAATGAAAAGAAGAATGAAAAAAGAAGAATGAAAAGAAGAAGAATGAAAAGAAGAATGAAAAGAAGAAGAAGAATGAAAAGAAAAGAATGAAATGAAGAAAGAATGAAAAGAAGAATGAAAAGAAGAATGAAAAGAAGAATGAGAAGAAGAATGAGAAGAAGAAGAAGAATGATGAAAAGAAGAAGAATGAAAAGAAGAAGAAGAATGAAAAGAAGAATGAAAAGAAGAAGAAGAATGAAAAGAAGAAGAAGAAGAAGAAGAAGAAGAATGAAAAGAAGAAGAATGAAAAGAAAAGAATGAAAAGAAGAATGAAAAGAAGAATGAAAAGAAGAATGAAAAGAAGAAGAAGAATGAAAAGAAGAAGAAGAATGAAAAGAAGAAGAATTCCAGTACAGCAAAAAGTGTATCTGCAGAGAGCTCCGCTATTTCTGACAGTTCTCTGACAGTTCCTTCACATTTACAGCGGTTGAAACATTGTATCTATTTATTTCCGAATAAAAACATCTGTATCCTAAATGGAAACAAATAGATACAATGTTTCAACCGCTGTAAATGTGAAGGAACTGTCAGAGAACTGTCAGAAATAGCGGAGCTCTCTGCAGTGACACTTTTTGCCGGCTGATCGGGGAAAATTCGATTTGTGCATCCGAAGTTGGCTAAAATTCGGATTCGGTGCGAATCGAATTTTTCCTAATATTCTAAACGAATTCCACTTCGCCAAGTTCGATTCGCTCATCTCTACTAATAACCTTCTGTGTATTCTGCTTCTGCATTGTTCCCAGTTCATTCTGTAAATTATGCTATAGACAAGAGCAGGAGTAGAGGAATTTGTGGTACTGTCTGGGCCGGTACTTCCACTAGGCAAACTAGGCAGATACCTAGTGCACACTGCCACCTAGGGGTGCCTGGGCGCAGCGCAGGCCGACACTCTCTCTGTATGCAACACTGCCATGTCATGAATGATCCTTCAGCTGAAGGGAGGGGCGGCAGAGGGGAGGAAGAAAGGACAGAGGAAAATGCTGGGTGTCTGGGTCTAATGTAGCAGCTGAGCTGCTGCTCCTTCCAGTGTTTCTCTCAGATGCAGTCCCTTGCTGCAAGTTCCAGAGGGGGAGCTGCACCTGCGGAGGATGGTAATGTTTGACTCTGATGTCTCGTGTCTGTGTGAGTGTGACACGGCTGTCCATCCATCACATGTGCAATGTGTCAGTGAGTGATGACATCATCACGATCCCACAGCCTGCTCTTCTAGTGCCTGCTGATCTGTGTCAGTTTTGGTGGTAGTGTGTTGTGTCGGATCTGTCACTGCGTGGGATCCCTCAGTTTAGGTGTTCTCTATGTGTGTGTGTGTGTGTGGGGGGGGGGGGGGGCTGGGCTGTCTGCAGTGTTCCCCCATTGCTCAGGGATTCCAGCTTGGGATCTGTCAGAGTGTAGATCCATCATCCTCCACTCACTGCAACTGTCACCCTGCCACTGCCAACCACAGATACAGTCCATCCGTGACACTGATTTTGTCTTTAATATTGGTGCTGGTGGCATTTTATGGCACTTATTTTTGTACAAAAAAAGAAATTTATCAGTTTCATGTTTTGTTGATTTAATTTTTTCTACGTTTTTAAAAATGTTTCATTTATTATTTTTTTTTGAGGGGGGTGCAAATAGCTGGTCTTAACTAGGGTGCAAAATAGTCTAGCACCAGTTCTGGGTACTGTCCAGTGGTGAAAGTTCTGCTTAGATACAGTATGGTGTGTAAGTGTTGTTACCTTAGGAAAGGAAGTGTGTTACTGACAGGATCACCAGATTAAAAAAAATCCCTGAAAAAGAAACAAAAAAAAAAAACTAATGCAACCACTCCATTTAAGAAATGATATGTCATTCTTGTTCCTGTATTTACATACGCTTTAAATATGACTTTCTCTGATACTAGCAACTTTAGTTACTTTTAAGAACAATAGTTGCAATTGCCTTTTTAGATCTGTGAAAATCACATGTTTTTGTGAACATTTCCAGTGTGTTGTTTGGATTTTTGCTCCTAGAAAATTCATTAACTCAGACTTGGCTTAATTGCTAATTCTTATATTGAACATTCCTTACGAGTGCTAATTCAGTAACCATTCACAAGTATTCTCAAATACTAAAAAATGATTGAAATGTGAATTTTTTCAAAATAACTCCCAAATTAGGGTTCTGATTTTTCATTACTAAACCTGCTGTTATTACCTTGCACAGTTAAATGTATGCTGCAAAGTCTATATATCTCATTTACCAATAGAGCAGGAGTCCAGGTATTTGTGGTACTGTCAAACAAAAAACATTTGTTTCCCAAACCCTGTGTCTGTTTTGATGGTCTCCTAAGGTCTGCTGATGGCCTACACACTTAGAGATTTACCCACAACTGCTCCGAAAACATTCATATCATGCCACAAGGTGATTGTTATTGCGGAATTAGTGTCATTGCAAACAAAACAGTTTTAGGACTTCCTTTTAGAAGGCTAATGTCACACCTATGATCCTGTCACTGAAAAGGACTTGTCAACCAAAGGATTGCTGGAATGTGTAGAGAGAACACTCATTTACTTTGTATATGTCATTTCCTCTGCAGCACGGTGGCACTTCATTGCTGTCAAAAATGCTGCAAAACATTGTAAAATGTAAGTTAATGAGGAGAGGTTGATTCTTATCCAGCTGACAAGAGAGTGACACGTTCAAGGAGGTGAGTGTTTCATCTCCATGATCTGTCCTCCAAAGCAATACTGTCTCTGGCAAGTTCTCACCACTGACAGGATTGCAAAAGTGACATTGGCCTAAGATGGGGGAATTTGAATGCCAACACATCTTCAGATATCTCCAGATATATTTATATACATAGCAGTGAATGTGATTTTCTGCAAACAGACACTGCAGGTGAATCTTCCTGGTGCATATCTTGTGACACTGATTGATTCATCTTCAGGTTCCATTCACACTTGTACGACTCCAAAGTTGCGTGACTTTAGTGTGAAACTTTGATGCATCTTAACCTCCCTGGCGGTCTAATCAATATTTTTGAATGTCAAAGCGGTACATTGTTTTGCATGGAAATTTGTTGTTTTATATTGTAGGCCTATAAGTCTTAGGAATAACTCACTTAAATTTGTGCAAACAAGAGTCTAGTAAACATCCCGGGTATGATAAACACACAAAATCATAAAATATAAATATAATAATTATAAAAAATAATAATATAATAATAATAAATTTCATTAAATAATGTCAGTGTCCGATGACAAATTTCCCCACGAATCACTATCGCTCAATTCTGCAAGTGACTCTAATTCACTATCACTGTTTTCTAGTTGGTCTAAACCTGCTTTTGACCTAAAGGGATGCTTTTTGGATGCCATGGACATTTTCAAGTTTACAGGCATAAAGAACAGTAAAAGTGCAGGCAGGACACTGGACAAAGCACTAGGGACAAAATTTAGGTGAAATGGTTTGATACAGTAATGTCATTCTAACAGATTACAATGTATTGTGTGTGTCATATTTTAACTTTTTTGAATTTCCCACTGGTTCTGCTGCCGTGTGTAACAACGCTCGCAGGGAACGGAACACGGATGCCGGCATCGGCCGAAGGACACAGAGGGAGGACATCGCAGGATTGCAGGACAAGGTAGGGATCGGGGGGAAAACAGAGAAGCACTATGGAGTAATCCCAAGTGTGGCTCGGGGTTACCGCTTTTGGTACTGTAAATTAACCCTGAGCCACACTCTGAGATTACCGCTAGGAAGGTTAAGATGGGTGCTACTTGGATGTGATTTTTCCCTCTGCAAAGTCGGACCCACTGTTTCAACACTATTGCATGTAAAACATTCAGGTACAACTTTCATGCAACTTTTGAGGGTTAACATTGAAGTACATGGCCATAAAGTTGCATGAAATGTGGACTTAAGTAGTGCATGAACTACTCTGAAGTCACTGCAACTTAAAGTCACACATATAGTATATGAATGGTTATCATTGGAAAACATGGGGTACAATTTGTCATGCGACTTTGATGACCAAAGTCACATGCTTAGTTGCACAAGTGTGAATGGGTGTCAAGGTCCTACCTTTTCCCAGAGGTTGTGCTGCTCCATGTGCTGGCATCCATCTTGGATTTCTGCAGAGCATGGTGGGAGTCTTTTATGCCGTCAGGTCTCTGTGGTCCATCCCCCAGAGGGGTGTGGTTGATCACATATAAGCCTGTTGTCCGCACGTGCCCTTTGCATTCGTGTCTTGTGTGTTAGTGTTCTGTTTATACTCTCGTGGCTCTCCTGGAATCTGACTCGGCTTTTGACTGACCATTCTCTGCGTTTTCCATTGATCTGACCATCCGTTGCTGAACCCGGCCTGTGACCTGTTATTCTTGTCTACCGTTCTGTACCGTTTGTCCCATTGTTATCGACCCGGCCTGCCCGACTACTCTTTGTCTATCTGGTCCCTACCAGCTACATGCCATTGGCGGCAGCCATTACCGCAGCTGGGGTGTCTCGGGGGCCGCGACCTGGTTCCTGGCTGCGTCAAGTCCATCCCCACCATCAGGGGCCCTGGTGAAGGGCAGCCTGGGACTTAGACTCCGCGCCCTGAGGGACTACGGTCTGTGGGTGGTGGTTGTCGTCAGTCAGTGCGTGACCCTGCCCTGACATTGGGGTCTTAGTGAATATTTGGGGAAAATCATATTCACTGCTTTATAAATATAACCTATAAATGCTTGTGATGTACAGTTGCTCTAAAATGTTTGCATACCCTGACAGAAATGCTGAAATTATGGCATTGATGTTGATAATGTGACTGATCATGCCAAAAACTGTCTTTTATTTAGGGGTAGTGAGCATATGAAGTCATTTATTATCACATAGTTGTTTGGCTCCTTTATATCGAAAATCACCTAATTGGCACTGATAAAGTTTATATACCCTGGAATGTTTGGCCTTGTTACAGACACACAAAGTGTTACACGCAGATTAAAATGGCAATTCAAGGTTCATTTCTCATATTTGTGGCTTTTTAAATTGCAATTAGTGTCTGTATAAATAGTCAATGAGTTTATTACCTCTCACGAGGATACATTGAGCAGGCTAGATACTGAGTCATGGGGATCCGAAAAGAACTGCCAAAGACTTGCATAACAAGGTAATGGAATGTTATAAAGATGGAAAAGACTATAAATGTCCAAAGCCTTGAATAAACCAGTCAGTCAGTACTGTGCAATCACTGCTTAAGAAGTAGAAAATAGGGGGGCACTCGTGAGCAGCGGCCTAAGATAGTCGCATAGTAGACGCGGTCCTCGCCCACCGGACACATCAGAGGTCCTGCTGCCTCCCAGGGGAATAAACCACCCACCCACTACCCCCCCAGGCTACCGCTACTTACCCGCACCGATGGGGAAGAAAACCGGGGCCGCCCAGGCCTCCGGCGCTCGGAGCTTGCGGCCTACATGCCGTCGATCTTCTCTGAAGCCCCGGCCTCAATTTCGGATTCACTACCGCCACCCGCAGATGACCAAGACCCAGCCTACAACACTGACACAGTGTCAGATGCACCCCTGTAGACCCCCACGCCTGCTCTTTGGGACGCAGACCTCCTGGGTCACTTTAAATCCATGCTGAAGATGGAATTGTCTTCTGCTGCTTCCAGGTTGGCAGAGTGTGTCTCTCCAGAGAAATCAGGGAGCTGGGTAATCACATGAACAATCTCGAGGATAAAATGGACGCTGCGTTCATGGTAATTGAAAATCATGAGCAGGATCTGAGTGATCTCAAGAAAGAAATGGCGGACATGTTGCTCAGGCTTGAAGATTTTGAGAACCGTTCCCGCCGTGACAACTTCCGCCTGCGAGGCATTCCAGAAACTGTCACAGATCTCACTTCAACCGCTTACTGCGTTGTTCCAGGAGCTGACCCCCACCATTTCTATTGACCGGCTTGCCTTTGACCGCATACATCGAGCATTGGGTCCCCGACGGCCAGAGAGGCCCTCGAGAGACATTATTGGCAAATTCATGTACTATCGCATTAATGAGACTGTTCTCTTGGCGGCCAGGAATAACCCAGACCTCAGTTTCCAGGGACATCGCTACCAGCTCTTTTCGGATGTTTCCCAGATCACCCTCAGAAGCATCGCCAGATGAAGCCATTCACCTCGGTCCTGGTGAATTGCAAAATTAAATATGCATGGGGTGTTCCGTTCCGCCTCACCTTCAACTACCAAGGCCGTAGCCATTCCGATACCATGCCAGAGGAGGCCCACTGTCTTCTGGAATCCTTACACCTTATCCCGCCTGGGGGTACTACTCTGAGATCCAGAAGAATGTGCCGGGCTCTGACGGGGCCGCCTCCTCTGGGTCGTCTCTGGTAGAAGAAATCCAGTCAGAAGAGGGCCCTCCCTCGGACTCCCCTATGCTCAAGTCCAACCTGCTCTTCACCGGGTTGAAGCTGTGTCCAAGACTTCCTCCACCGTGCCTCTTCTTTGAATCCTTTAGATGGGACCATGAGTTTGGCCTGTTGGGCATTTCCAGTTTTACTATT